ATAATAAGAATAAATTCGAGTAATTCAACCCTCCTGTTTTTTTTTTTTTTTTGGTATATCTTACATATCTGTAGAAATGCTGTCACATGATAGAAGTCAGTCGTCTTTATCACGTTACGTTTCTTGTCACCTATAATTCAACCTGCTCTCCCATCGATTTCCCATGAGATGTGTCATATTTCAGATCCTTGTCATCATTTCGATTAATATACCAAAAAAGATAGATTTTTGTGCAAATTCAAAATTTTCATTAGTATAATTCACTATTAAAAAGTTCTAAAACCTATCATATACAGTATCAAAATTTCGTTCCCCTATGCAAGATTAAAAAAATTGTTTTTTATAAAAAATATTAAATTTGAAATTTTAAAATATTTCAATATATTTTATTATAAACGATATTAAAATATTGAAATAAATAATTGTAATTTTAAAATATAAATATATAAAAATAACATAATCATACCAATATTCACTTAAATAATATCGTACTTGTAACATTATTTGAAACAATACTTAAAAATTATTTTTTAAAAGTTATAACGGGCCCGCCTAATTTTTTATCCAGTAAAAGATATTTATGCATTAAAATAAATGAACAACAATTAAAAAATGTACTTAAAAATTTATTTATTTTAAAAAATTATGGGCCCCGCCTAATTTATTCTGTCGGGTGGCGGCTCAGGGCAAATTGCCATAATCTCGAAATGTTAAGTTTTTTTGGAAATCAAAGTTGGAGACAAAGTGGAACAGACGAATGTGAAAATGTGTGATTCTGGGAGGCGAACATGTTGATTTTTGGAGTAAATATTTTGGTTTGTCTAAACAAATTAAAATACATACATTTTGTTAGAGTATAGTTTAAAAATTACCTTTTGTTTAATCAGTGAAACAAAAACGTAAAATGTTTGTTCTGTTCCGAATTCTAGTCTCAAGTTGGAGAATGAGTTTATATTCTAATTACATGGTTTGCTTACATCTTCGTATTAGTTTGAGCCTCGATCTAAAAGATCGGATTATCAAAACAATTACCTTTTGTCGCACTTTACAAAGATTTCGAATAATTAAATCGGTCCCTCAAACTATTTAAAAGTTAATATTTAAAAAAATATAGTTCATGCAAATATTATCGAAGTTTAAATCTACAAACATTTTGGGTCCATGAGTACGTTCTTGTGACAGTCCAGGATACCGTAGAAGGGCAGAAAATGATCGTCGATACGAGAGGCATGGACAAGGAGCAACTCCTGACGAGTTTCTGGGTAGGGGATACAGGGATGAATCGAATGCACCAGAATGAGAAGGATCCGAGAGCTGTATAAGTATTGAGACTACACAGTCAAAAGTAACTTAAAAGAATTGATTGAGCTACTTATAGCAACAAGATACATCTACCTTTTCAGTCGACCATCTCGAGAGAACTCTAAAATTAAATGTGTTCGTTTTGGAGTAGTTTTAGAATGAATAATCTCATGAGAAGTATTTTCCGGGATGTGTGCGAGTAAGGACAAAACACACTGAAAGGTCTCGTGTTGGTATGTGAAAACAGTTTTGACTAGGGGTGGGCGTTTCGGAAAATGGTTCGTGTTCGAGACGGGAAGGGATCAGTTCGGTTCTTTCGGTTTTATAAAAATAGGTACCAATCGGTTTGGTTCGGTTTTGAGTTTTATTAAAAAAAAATGATAGATTTCCTTTAAAAATATTCGGTTTTTCGGGATTTTTAAAGTTCGATTCGGTTTCAGAAAAATTCGGTTCTCTAAAAAGGGTACCGTTCTGGAATTAAGAACGGTTTCGATCGGAAAAAGTACCGTTTTTTCGATTTGGTTCGGTCTGTTGAATTCTAGAGATCGTTACAGTTCTCTACATTGGGGTTTGAGACGAGTGTTCCATACTTTTTAATTCAGCGTAATATATGTCAATACATAATTAAAAATGGGCCTACTTGAATTCATGTAACTTATATCTAATTGATGTGATCTTTTGAAAACCTACCACGAAAACCTCGCACGACACGGCAAACTTATACAAGCACCTAACCAAAATTCAGAGGGACCCAATACCTTAATGTATCATTTTTCAACGTTTTTAATTCGAAATATAAGTAACGTTTCTGATAAATCAACAAATTTCGATAGCCATTGAAATAATAATTTAGCATCTGGAATTTACGGTAATGTAAACTAGATATTATAAAATATGGTTACAAAATTTACAAGTGGGGTCCTTCAAAGAAATAATGCACCGTTTGGGGGAGGTTGTCTCTTAATACACGTCGCACTTGTTTAAATTCTCAACACCAGTCCACGAATTGATTCGAGTCATTAATCGTCCGTAATATAAATTTAATTCCATAAAATTATAACTAGATTTCATGAAACTAGAATATTACGGATTTTCCAAAAAGAAAAAGATTCCGTAATAGCGTAAAAAAAATGAAGAGCAACAACCCCATTTGTTTTAATATAGATGTAGTTTTGGAATTTAAATATATTAAAAATGAAACAAAATTTCTAGAAACCTTTCGATTAATAAATTTAAGAATCTAAGCATCATCCATGGAATAACGAAAATTTTAGTTGTTTACAACTGTATAAATTACTAAGCATTAAACCTAAACTCTAGATTCGGTTTCAAATTAGATATTCGTCGGCTGCTGTTGACCTGATTTATTGCCAAGTTTTGTGTATACTATAAGAACAATATGCAATTAATTATATTTAAGATTTTTAACCTAAAATTCTCCCATTAAATAGTCTATAAATTCATTGTATATCCATTGAATAAAAAAACACATAAAACATTTCCTATATATATATATATATTGTTTATTTTCATAAATGAAAACCCCAAAAAGTTTTATATATATTGTCACGAGAATCTGAAATATTTCTTGATTTTTTTAGGTAGCACAGTTACAAAAATAATGACAACACATTGAAAAAGACACGGGTTTACAAAAGGCAAGTTGCTCATAATTTTATCGCATATTTATTTATTTGCCACGAGATTATTCCTTTATTACACACAAATGCAAATACTTTCAAATGGAGCTAACAAGCCCACCGACGTTCTCCACGCCCCTTAGTTGCGAATTCACCACACTGCAATTCAGTCTAATCTCTCCCTCGTTTCCGGTCAAGGGTGTAATATTTCCCATCCTTATCATCGCTTCCGCGAATGCCTCGAAAAACGCCGTCGTATTCGTGCTGTATAATTCCACGAGAGGAATCGTATCGGCCCCCGAGGTGGAGAAGAGCTCTTGATCGGTTTGGATAAGACCCTTTCCGATCCTAAGGTTCGAGTAGTAGCGATTGTCGAACGAATCCGGGGTCTCGGGATCGAAATTGGCCAAAGCGCTCGCGTCCCCGTTTTGCGGACATATCTGACGAAGCTCGTTGAGATAAGTTGTGTTCAAAGTAGGGTCGGGCAGTCCTGTCCCGTTGAAGCCGTACAGTCTGTCGAGTATGAATCCGCATTGAGCCCTTCCAAATGTGTGACCACCTATATAATGCCCGACCATTCTTATTATATTAGAAAAAATAAAATCATAAATTCAACGTTAGAACTTTTAAAAATAAATCGAGTAATATTTATTTCAACAGATAATTAACATAAAACCTCTCGACTATCATTATAATTAAAACAGAAAATAAATAAAAAAAGGAAAGAAAAAGAGAACCATACCGGAAAGCGCAGCGAGATCGGACGGCCGATCAAGAGTAACGTTAGAGAAGCTTTCTCTAAGCTGGTCGAAGGTGAAGGTCGGAGCCGGAAGACGGATATTCGCCAGGTCGAAAAACGCCTCTAAACTGTCTCTTCTTCCCAATGGAACCGACCACGACGGACCACCCGCCTATCATTATAATTACGACATGATATTATATATATATATATATATATACCTTAGTTCGTATATTATATACGTAAAAAAAAAAGGTTACGATTGTATAATGGTATAAGTGTGTTCTTGTCATCCAATCTTGAATCATATTCTCTATATAATATTTTAGATTAAGGGTATGACATCATGTATTATATATACATATATAGTTCACGATATATAGAAACCGTGGATGAAATTTTACACGTAATGACAAGTATATCTTACGAGAACGACGGATTCGTGAGCGGCGAGAGTGAGTGTGTCGGCGCAAGAAACGACGCCGGGACAAGCCTCCTCGACGGAAGCCTTCATCCGGTTGATGACATTGAACCCTCGAGCTGAATTGTTGTTAGGAGCAGCCTCTTTCTCCGTTTGGAATGACGACGTACTATCCAACAAGATCGATGCATCGCAACCCTATACATTTATTAAATTTATATTTTTTTATTATCAAAAGTAAAATTGAAAAAAAAAAATATTATATTCCAATCTATTTGTTTCCCTTTCCATGGTTATGACTTTGACTAGAAACTCTTCCTAGATTTGAAACTTAACGGTTTTTGTATTTCATTACATTTTCTTCAAAAAAAAAAGTTCTTCCAAGTGGTTTAGTGGTGAACGTATGATTAGGAGTTAGTGAATAGACACAATACTAGTTATAGATTATGTAAATTCCATATAATTCCCTATAATGGTTGAAATAAAATCCGGAAAATATGTAACCATTAGAAAAAGAAACTTACACGAACGAAACAATCGTGAAAATGGAGGCGGAGAATGCTGGCAGCGATTCGGGGGTCGGATCTCAATTCTTCAACGATGGTGTTCCGAACGATACTTGAGACATTCGGACAAGTTTGGTCATAGAAAGATGGGGACAATTGGGCATTGGAAAAGCTTCCATGAAGGAGAAGGCATCCCAAAGTTATTAGGGTTCCACATATGGAGGAGGAGGAAGAAGAAGAAGAACTCATCTCTTTTTTTTTTTTAATTCAGTGTGTGATCTATTAATGGTTAAGGTGTTGAAATAATGGAACCGTTTTATAGAGGGAAAGGTCAAATATGGTGGCTTTGCCCTTGTGTTAATTTAGAAATTAAAATATGTATATATATATATATATATATATATATATATGCATCAGCAACAATATTATAACTCAAACTAAACGCAACGACGAAATGCGCCGAGGAAACTTTAACGCACAAATATACAATTAACATTGACCACAAAATATAGAAATAATTTGGACATGTGTGTGTGTATATATAAATATATGAACAGAGGTTAGTAGCACGTATATCCGAAGCCGCCACAACCACTCATTTTAATAATTTAAATTAATTCATATAAAATTTTAAAAATTAATATGAAATATGTTGTATATCTCCAATAAAATTATATTAATGTATTCTACTTCTTAATTATAATACTGGTATTCGATAACAATTAAAATCACAGTCATTTCATTGTGCATATTCTTATTTTCTTTATTTCAAACGAAAACAACAGGGTTTTCATGACACAAACGGGCATTCGCATTTTCACTCGCACTTGTTAATTGTTATGAATAACAGTTTTCAAGTGTTGTTATCTTTAAAGGTTAAATGATAATTTTGTAATTATGGATGTAAACTACTTATAATAATAGAAAGATCTTTGATGAATTTTATTATAAATGAAATTAAAAAATAAAATAGTTATGTAAGAAAATCTAAGCGAATATTGTAAAAACAATAAAATAAAATAAAATTACTAATATTATTGTATATCTCTAACATTTTTTTTTGTTAACGTTGGAAACTACTGCTACCCAACCTTTACCTGTAGAATCGAACTGACCACCACCTGCGCCTAATGATCTCAGAGAGATTTGATCAACAGGTGTGTCTAACGCTCAACCACCACGAGGTGGATATAGGGCGCACTGACGGAGTAAACTCCACATTCACGCGCACGAGTCAGCAACACACATGAGAGGTAAATCAGCCATAACTAACAGGCGACATGTAAACGGATAAGGAGTCGAACCCCCACCCTCTCGGTATGTTGACCATGCTCCTCTCTAACATTTTTGTACTTAGATAAACATTCCTTTTACCCATATTAAATATTATTTTACAATGTGTTCAGGACAAGAAAAACATATATTATAATAAACCATAATATGCATATTGCGTGTATATATATGTAGTTGGACCTATATAAATATTTTTTCAATAAAAACAAAGATTTAATTTTAGAGTTTTAAGCGACTGATCAAAATATATGCAATAATTACTTTTGTCGGTTCAACATAAAGAAATTATTATGAAATATTGAATAGTATGACATCACATATATATATGTGTGTGTGTGTGTGTGTAATAAACTATTATGAAAACATTGAATAATATGAAATCGGATAAGAAACGTTGCATTGAATATCTTCATCAGCCGACTCTTGTATAGTTGTTATCCATTTAATGAACTAACTACCTTTGCAATAATTGAAAAATGTCCAAATAAGAAACTACAACATATATATAGTGCAATGTGATTAAACACAAGCCATATATTTCTAACACGTTACTATTTTTTCAATGAATTCTAGAATTGCAATCATTAAAAAAAAGGACTTTCTATTCGGTGTTTGAAAACCCAATATTATATATATCTTTCTTAATTTTGTCAATGATCCTAGAAGGGCAAACATTAAAAAAAAATAAAGACTTCGAATTCGGTGTTTGAAATTAAACATGGTGGGAGTTCTAAATATGCAAGGAAAAGGGAAAAGGCCATGTTTAGGCTGCTAAGGAACAAACAACAACTGCCGTAACGTGCAGGGATCTTTCCGCTCGCTGCCTTTCCTTTGCTAATAACATGTGCAGTATATGTATTCCATGTATGAGACGGAACGAAATATGTTTTTATTTATGATTGTGGGACTCCCACCGCCCTTCGGGGCATGATGTTACTCGACTCTACGCAATAACATGTAAACCACTTGGAACGGGTAAATAAACCGAAATTGACAGACTCGGAAAAAGCTCGAGCCAACGATGTCGAACTCACAACCTTGAGTTAGGATTGCAAGCTCTCAATCAACTGAGTTGAGGGTTTTCCGTTTACATATGTATTTTTATCTTTTAGCTTATAAAATTGAATATATATATATATTTCTTAACTCTTATTAGCATTTAAAATATAACCGTTTACTCATCCATGCCACCGTTCAAGGCTAAGTGTCAAAATTAATGCATATACATATATAAATGCATTTTGGACGTTATCTTACAAAAGGTTTGTATTTTTCTTATGAACCATTACAAAATACATTACTAAAAAAATACATTAAAGACAATGAAATGGCGACAAAAAATTGTGTGACGCATGAAGAGAAAAAAAGGCCCAATGAAATCACTGGAAATAATGTTAGGTATACAAAAAAAAAAAAAAGCAGAGCACAGTACCTATACAAAACTAAGGAGATAAAAACAATGTAACAAATGCTTAGAAAGTTTAAATAATGTTTCTAATCGATTATTCATAGTCCAAATCGACGTTTCAATATCGGTCATTGCCGACAGAAAGATTTCCAAAGGGAGACTTTTCAAGATAGGTTCATGAAAACCACACCGTAATCCAGAATATACATTGTCCAGTTATCTTACGTGCAATAGATTACGAACACACACATGCATGTGTGTATATATATGTAAGCATGGGCTTAATGGGGCTTGGCCCATATGCTACACAATTAACGAATATAGTTGAGCCCAATGGGCTTTTCATAGGCATTCTCACCTAATTGTTTGATTAAAGAAAGTGCAAGGCTTGTGTAGACCAAGGAGATGATGAGAATTCTAATTTTGGTGTAATAAACAAAAAGAAGTTTCTAATCCATCGAAAATTTATCAGCTTTGTTAAGGCAACCCTAAATTTTGTTGGGTTTATTTATTTTTATTTTGAGACATCAAAATTTATTGATTATAACCAACCGAATTTCATCAGGAGTGCCATGAAATTCGATGGGAACGAAAGTTCATTAAAAACGACATGATCTAGTCTAAACAAGGTATGGGATTTGGTTTGATGAAACCAATCCAAACCGGTTATCAATCGGTTTAAGTTGGTTTGGATTATATATCCAAAACCGATCAGCATCTATAGTTGTAAACCGACCGGTTATGGATCGGATTGAACAGGAAAAAAACAACATCGGAATCGGAAGTACCTCTTTTGTGGCAAGAATCTGAGTGCATCTCTCATCTGGGCACATCTCCCTTTTACACCAGAAAAAGAGAGAGACTATGAATTCCGCTACCATCGGGTACCCGCAGAGATTCTCTTCGAATAGTCTGCTAAGAGTTGCTATTTCAGTTCGGTTATACAAAACCGTACCGAACCAAATATATAATTGTATCCGAATCTAATTCGATAAAAACCAAAATGGGTTTAACTTCTGTGGAATAGAAAAAAAAACGAACCAAATCAAATCACGAACCCAACATATAAATGACCGAAAAACTGAAATTTTCTTGAGGAAAAAAATGAATATTTTCATCAATAAAAACCGAACCTGAATAGAAACAACTCATGCGAGAATTCACATTCTCACCCTCTGTTTGTTTGCTCACCTGTATTTTCTCGCTTTTTCCACGACAGAGGAACCGGATGTAAGAAGGGTCTCTCACGTCTGCAAAACGGAAAAGCAGCAGGAGGGAAGAACTGTACCTAATCCGATGGCTAAGGAACAAAAAAACAAAGTACGAGGACTCTTCCAAACTGAATCACTGCAGTTCCAACTTAGTTTTAGAATGCAAACCAAACCAAGGAAAACAAGACATACACTTAAATCTTACAACATACACGAGGATTCCTCTTGCTTTCTGGCTTCCATTCCATGGTCATCAAACTACTGCGCATAATATGGGTCAGGAGCAAGAAGAAATCAAAGGCATATATACGCAACCAACACTTCACAAAATGAAAAAAAATCAATCTTTAAAAACTTTACACATCCATGAGTTCTTTTTCGACTAAATAAAGCAGGGGCCATATAAGATCAGATACACAAATGACAGGAACCTCGATAATCTGTCTCTCACCCAGATGAACAAAACAAAAACAAAAAAAGAGAAAAACCCTAGTACGAAGTCATTTAAGAGCACGAAGGACCCTGGTAAAGCTACGCTCTACACCTTGATGCAAGAGCGAGAGGAAAGAGAAGTAGCCCCCAAATGCACAGATACCCGTCAAAATAAGTAGAGCACCGCCAGTTCATGTAAGAGACTTACATTAAGGAATCAGGGTTGATATGCTCCCTGGTCTGAACTGAGTGTCCTCTCATAATATTGTTTGCCCTGTTCTATTAGCGTTATTGGGGTTCTTACTCTTCTTCCTGGCTCCAGAACACATTTGTTTCTTTATTGTTCTTTAACCGAATCATTCTGAGCTAAATCTTGAGACTTTTCATAACTCATGTCCTTTTCTCCACTGCTATTCATGACAACACTTTCCATCTTCGACTCATTACCATGTGTCTCTGCAACATCCACATCTCCTCCGGAATCCTTTTCGGCAAGTTCTTTAGATTCTGAGTTATTTTCCACTGAAGCTCCTAATCCAACAATAGGTTTCTCTGTGGCTTCATCCACCTTACCCTTGTCTTTGATGACTTCTTTAACCGTGGCATCATCTTGTGCAACATCCTGCATGCAAATATCTTCTGCATCCACATGTTGATTCTCCTTTGCGTCATCACTTGTACGAGCGTCAGATCCCCCTGTTCCACTGTCGTTTTCAGACTCATTTTCCACAACCTCCTCATTAGCATCCAAAGCAACCATGTTCTGCCTCTCAAGAAACTGTAACCTCCTCCTTAAATCGCCCAACTCCCTTTCCATCAAGAAAAGCCGTTCCTTCAGAGTCAAGTTCTCTTCCTCTAGTTGTGCAATATGGGTATCCTGATCATCAACTCGATTCTCCAACACATTGTGATACTCAGCACCGCCATAATTCGGGTAAATCATCTCAAAACGACTCAAATCATGATCTAATCTCCTCTCGACCTCTACATGCTCCTCCACATCACTCTCGCTTGACCCTCCTTCGTCTTCGTCACCATCATCAAAGTGGGGCTCCAGATCATGTCCATCAGACCGCAGCCTAATAAGCCCCTTCATCGAGCCATACCCATCAACACCCCACTCCTCCTTCGCCATATCGCCCAAAACCTCCCTGGACGGCGAAAACATGGGCGTTGGCAGCACAGCTGGTGTCACAGGGCAAGGAGACACCAATTCAGCATTTACTCCATACTTCTTAGCACGGATAATAAAAGAAGTTGTGTTCCTCGGAGCGTAGGGAACATAACGGTTATTGCTGAACTTCTTCTTCGGGTAGAACTTCCTCATCTTCAACCTGTTCTGAGACTGCAACTCGTTGAGCGTCGGAGGATTGTACCCTCCTGCACCAACAGACCCAACTTGAATACCAGAACCATGTAGCTGCTGAGGGTTATACCCTGCCGTACCAACTGGACAAATAGCAATACCAGGGTTAGGCATCAGATTATCCATCCTCCTAATCGGCTCCTTCATGGGTCTCTTGTCGTTGGGAATCCTTTTACCTTTCCAGTTGTTTCGGTTCACTTTCGATTGTTTTGAAGCAGGACCAAAGTTATTATGCTGCGAAGAAGATGGGTTCTGATACTTGGTACTCAAGCTAGGGTTAGGGTTAAAGTTCCGGGTGTTCATCATCAAAGACTGGTTTATCATAGCCTGAGACTGAGTCAAGTTCATGACCTGTGGCTGATTCATACCCATAACTGGATGATTCATTCCCTGAGTCTGACCTAACAACTGAGTATGGTTCATAATTTGCGACTGAACGGGATTCATTACCTGAGGCGGCGGCGGATTCATCATCTGTGGTGGCGGTTGGCCCATCATCTGCGGCGGAGGCGGTGGATTCATCAGCTGAGACTGATCGTTCATTCTAAAAAAATACGAGACACACGAACACTAACCGAACCAAACCCAAAACTGAAACAAATAGAAGGAACCCTAGTTTCGCAAATTCCCAAATCTCAAAACCAACTAATTCAAACAATCAGTAATCAGATCCACAAATCAGATACCGAATCCGTTGATTTCGAGCACAGATCTCAAAACACGAACCGGAAAATTAAGGGAAAACAAGCGGATCAAAGGGAACCAAGACGAAAACAAATCCAAAGCAGAAACCCCGAAACTGGAATTTGAGGTTTCGAATAATCCACCGGATTCGGATCAGATTTTCAAAATCTTCCTTTCGTACAATTTCTGGCGTGTCGAATGTTTTTGGCGAAACGGGATCTGGAAATTTCTGATATTTTCTTGGGAAAAGCAAGAAAATTTGGAGAATAAAAGGAACTTTAGGAACGGCATAAAGAAGATTTGGTTGTTATTTATAGGGGAGGAAAAGGACGTTGGGTAAAATGGACGGCTGAGATGCGAAGGATTAATCCAACGGTTTACATTTGTTTATTTGAAAGCCATAGTCGGTTTTGGCTTCTTTTTAGTTTCTTTTAACGTTTTATTTAAAATTTGGGTTAATCGCATATAAATATCTGAACTTTTACAAAATTTTTAAATAAATACCTGAAGTATAAAACTCTCAAATCAATACTTGAACTTTTCAAAACTTGTATATAAATATCTAAACTTTTAAAAAATTTCCAAATACAATAATTTTTGTTGACGACGTTAATCGACGAAGTGATCGGATTCTATTATAAATTAAACGGTATTTATGAAATTTGGTTGTATTTGGAAGTTTTTTAAAAGTTTGGATATTTATATGAAAGTTTTGAAAAGTTCAGATATTGATTTGAGAGTTTTATAGTTTAGATATTTATTTGGAAATTTTGTAAAAATTCAGGTATTTATATGCGATTATCCTTTAAAATTTTGATTTTAGTGAGGTCTAACTAGGATTTAAAAAACCCCTCCCATTCGAGTGGTTTGTATGTATGCATCCGGATTCTTGGGAGATCAATATCCCAAATATTAATTCTGATTTAAGGTTTTACAAATTTGGTTGTTATAAAAAAATGTTTATGATGAAATTATATTTTTTTAGTAAATTGAAGGTTTTAGTTGAATTAAGTAAATCTTTCTCTCTTTTTTGTCGTCCTCTGCATCGTATTGTCGAGTTAAATTATTCTCAAATAATTTTATATCATTTATTTGAATATATAAATTACTAAAGTTTTTATCCAACTTTTTTAGGAAATTAAAGATTGTAGAAACAATTAAATCCCATAATTATTACTATAGACTACCTTTGCATCGCCCATGGTAAGAACAAAAAAAAACACACATAAAAAAGCTTCAACCAAGCATCACCATTGCATCCAAATTCAGAACATATTTATTTTGATTCAGAGAATGTGAAATAGGTGGGGTGGGGGGGGGGAGACGATATAATCTTACAAAAAAAATCTGTCACATTTTGTTTTTTTAAATGAACACGGGCTACCTTCACTACAAGTGTTCTGTCAATGCTTCACTTGGGCAAATATCAGAAACAATTAGGTTCCCTTCCTGTAACAATAGTACTGATTATTAGAAACCTATCTTCTGTCATTTGTGAAAAATACAATGTTTGACAGCAGTTTTATATGGAGAAAACCATCAAACAAAATCCAAATGGTGTGCTGGAAGAAAGTTTCAGGGCATTACTTACTTTCTCTTCTTTCGATCGATTCCAGCAGAACCCATATTCCTCACGTCGTTCTTCACGAGTGCAGATCCTCCGGGTATGCTGGATTGCATAGGAGAGACGGCTGG